ATACTATGGGAAGTCTACTGTCTGCTCAGCTTTTCCATAAACCTAAAACTGTTCTAAAAAATAAGGTCTACTAAAAATCAAACAAATGAACAGAGGGTCTAGAAGTCAGAGATGGAAGAAGTCAGAGATTCTCTCTCTTGCTGGCCTTGAATAATCAAACTTCCCTGAGTTCTGCAGCTGCAAGGAAATGAATTCTGCCAACATTGTGATCTTGGAAGAGGACCTCAAATATCAGATGAGAACTCAGCCCCAGCTGACGCCTTGATCACAGTTTTATGGGACTTTCCACATAAAATCCAGTTAAGGTGTACCTGGGATTCTGAACCCTATAATCTATGAAATAATAAGTGTTTGTTGTTTGAAGCTCCTAAGAAATCAGCCAAAATTAAAGCACCACAGCAACAAATATTTTGCAAAATAAAAAGGGTGATACAGAAAATTAAATAAAGTGTAGAGCATGCCTGGGTGGCTTCATGAAACTGGGTGGTGAAGAAAGCCCTCTCTAACAGGATGGAACCTGAACTGGAAACATGAGCCATCCACAAGGCATTACAAAAAAAACACTATGGGAAAAGAGGTGAGCTCGATCCAGGGCCTTGAAGTAAAACTTTGGGGTGTTCCATGAAAGACATCCAGTATCACCCCACCTTAGGGGAAGAAACAAGAAAGACGTGAGAGAGAGCAGGAGCCCGATTACAAACAGCTTCTAAAGAGGGGTAAGGAGTTCAGATTTTAAGTACAACTGGAATCTATTGGACCATTGATGGTGGAAGACGGACATATCTGATTTATGGTTTTAAATAAAATTATGCTAACTGCTCTGTAAAGGACTGATTGCAGGGTGGCCAGAGTGGAGTCAGGGCGTCTGGAGACAAGGCTCCAGCATTAGCCTAGACAAAAGATCATGGAGCCTTAGACCTGAATTGGGGAGGAGGTGGTGGATGTCTTCCAGGGAGTGTGGGAGGGTGTGTGAGAGGGGTCTTGATGGGGTGGGGCATACATTGATGTTTACACTCATCGCAGGGATCCGTATCCTCGAACTGCTACTGAGGTGCACCCAGCAAGAGAATCACAGGTACTCACAGCAGTCATGTGCTCCCTTGCCTGCAGTCTTTCACTGGTGGCATCCTGTTCCTGAGCTTCTGAATGTCACTGGTGATTCATCAAGCACACAAATGGTGCTCTGGCAGTCTGGGCAGGATTCTCCCCTGAACGCACTGCCGAAGGGAAAACTGGATCCCTCTTGCCCCCGCCCCCTGGCCCAGCAAAGCTGCCCTACTTAATTAATCATTTTCTCACGGCTGAGCAAACAATTTGTTGCAAATTCTTTCCCGGGGGCCCCCACTTTGATGAGGAACAGAAAAGTGCCCAGCTCGGGCCATCTTCCTTCATATCAGAAGAGAGAAGAGATTGGGAATAGGATTCTTCCATTTTCATGTTGGTCGTGGCAGTTTCCTCCGAAGTCACCTGCAATTTCATCTCTGGACCCTTGCCTCTAAATTTTCCTTCTTCATTCTTGCTGCCTCTTCCTGTTGCTCCTGCTCCACATCCATGGCTATGCCTAACCAGCTCCAGGCACTGCAGATGTTGTCCTCCATCCTTCTCACTTGCAGCCCCATTTTACCCCTTGGGACTCTGTCTGTGCTCAGTTATAGATGCCTGCAACCTGAGCCTGGGTGAGAGCTAAGGATGTGGGGCCTTTCTGTCCCACTTTGTGGTAACTCTACAGTTCGAGTGGCTGATTGCTCTGCTGTATCCATGACATGGCTGTCACGGGTGGTTTGCTCTCCAAGTTCTTCAACAGGTCAAGCCCTAGAGATGAACTCCTAGAGAGGAGAGACTGGCTAGGTTCTGAGAGGGGTGGTGCTGATACGTGTCTTTGACATACAGGGTTCTAGAGGTCAAGGCATCCTTTTTTGGGTTGATGCCCCAGGCTGGCAGTTTGCTCGCTCTACTGAGCAGGGAAAGGGGAGGTGCAGCTTGTTCTAGTCTGTTCCTTCCCTAGTTCCTAGCTCACAGTCAGCAGATGTCAGCTGCCTGGGACTTCTGGACTCCCAGGGCTGTGTCTAACCCAGGTGGAAAGAACCCTAACTAGAGAAGAAATGGCATGCCCTCCAACTCCTGAGAAAGTCAACTTCAAGAAAGACCACCCTTCAAGGGACCAGTTCTTAGTGGCTTTGTTCTCTAGTCTCTTCTGTTGGTGCCTAATGGTACCCATAAGGTATGTGGACATCCCTTTCTTCCTCAGACTCTTTCAGAAGACATGGCTTCACCTAGGGACACAGGTAGCAAGGCACCAGAACAAATAAGGTGACCTGGTCTGTAGATGGGATGGATTTGCTCCAACCTGGATGGTGCCAGTCAGCAAGAGGCAGCTTTGAGAACAGCAGCTTCCCTAAATCTTTCCATGATGCTAACATGTACCTTAAAGAATGGTTTTGCCACTTGAAAAACTAAATCGCATGTCCCTAAAAAGCAGATTTACCGGGGCCCCTCTGTATTAAAGGCTTGGATGAACTTTCCCAGTAATAATCAAGGCCCCATCTTAGCCCTGCCCTATATCTTGCAGAATGAAGTATGCAGAAATAGTCCTTAAAGGCCAGGGTCAAAAAATCCTGAAAGGTATTGGCCAACCAGTTCATTCCTAGTACCATAAAATATTAGCACTAGAAGGAGCTGGAAAGTTCATCTCTTCCACTAGTTCTGAACTCTAGTTGTACATTAAGATCACCCCCAGAAGTTTCACTTGAATGGGTCTGGAGTGGGGTTCTAGCATAGGTATTTTTTAAAAACACTGCAGGTGACTAAATGTACAGTGGCTGAGAACCACTGCCAGGACAAGGGTAAGCAAGGCTCTCACTCATTCACCCTATAGAAAGGGGCCTCTGACTCCTAATTAAGCCCAGGGGTTGTCAGAGCTCCTCCCCAGAACCCTGGGCTTTTGAAAGGTGCCTCAGCAGTCCAAGGGCAGGGCTCCAGGCATACTTATATCCCTCACTGTCTGCCCCCACACTCCATCCTGGGAGAGTGCTCACCAAGGTCTTAGATAAGTGGGACATAGCCCAGTGGCCCTACCACGGTCACATCTATTGGTCAACAACCGTCACTCAGTTCTGTCCCTTTATTATCTGACCAGTGGTGTGTTCTTTGGCTGGAAAAGATAAACCAGCCAATTACACAATCTCTTTCTCTGGAAGCTGACTTCAGGAGGCTAGAGGGAAGTTGTCAAAGACCTGAAAAGTCCTGGAGACTTAGTACCTGGGCAGGATCTGAACCTTGTGCCTGGCCTGAAGATAGGGCAGAATGGAAAACCATGTAGGAGCCTCCAATGCCGTCAAAGAAGTGGAGATGAAAGAGAGCCAGCCCCCAGGGCTCACCGGATTCATTTTCTGCCCGAGGCCTGCTTGCTCAGCTTCTCTCGGATTCCTGGGAGACCTCTCTAGAGCCTTAGGAAAGCCTTGTTTTACCAGAGCCTGCCTTTATATATCCAAAAGAGTCTTAGAGAGAACACTCACTACAAACAGAGCTGCTCCACTTTTATCTTTTTACATTTTGGGGGTCCACATAAGATTTGGATTTCAAAGGGAAAACCAAAAAAGGTTCCATTGCTAAAATACAGTGTGGAAATCATCAAGCTAGTTTGACTGCTTGTTTCATTGAAGGGGATCCTGAGGCACAGAGCAAGGAAGCAATGCTTGGTTTTGTCAACCTCTGTCTCTGTGGGAGACCAGAAGGAGGAGTGTGGAACTGCTAGACAGAGTCACCATGTCTCCCTCCCTCCCCCAATCTCTGCCATAACCACAGGTGTGAGGCTCACCAAGGAAGCATCTCTGATGTGGGGCATCCTGACTCTAATAGTAGAGGGTTTTGTAGCCCTGAGTGATTTTTCCTTGGAAATACCCTGCTTGACTTTGGCTGTGTTTCAAGGGAATAAGGGTAGGCCTTCAATAAATTCAGGACTCAAGCAGAATCCCACAGCTCACTAGCCCCCAGGATCTCTCCATACACCTAGAGCAACTCACTTTTGTCCCCAGCTTGACCTGCAGACAAAAAGCCAGCATGGCCCACTCCTTCACCCCCTGCCTCTGTTCAGAAACCTATAGCCTGGTGGCTCATAGAAGAGACCTGAGTTGGGTGTTTGCTCTAGGTGCCTAAAGTCTAACTGACATTTGTTTCTATATGCAGGACTCGCTTTTCCTTCTTTCCATAAATATTTCTAATTTCCTCTGTACAAGCCCAACTCCCCCTCTGCTGAGCCCCACACAACGCATCCATCTACCTTTGTCTGAGAAGTAGATGGTGATGGACATACCCAGTGGTCAGCTTCAGCTTGGGACTGAGACTCAAACCAGGAAACCAAAAAGCACAATTTAGCTCTTACAGGGAAAAAAGACGCACAAGAGGAGTGGACTTTCTGTTACTTCCCACTGGACCCCATTCCCACATAGCTGTACAGTTCTCCTGATGCAGAATCCCTTTAGAAGGGCACTGGAATGGTCCTATGAACATGACGGTACAATCGTAGCATAAGAGAGACAGATATAAGAGAGGGTCTAATCCTGTCCCACCACCACCTTACTTAAAAGGGGAGCAGCTTTAGCACTTGTAAGTCAGAAGCGAAGATGGGCTTTTGGACAGAAACTGCCCAGGCAGCACTTGCTTCAGGCTTCCCACACCAATGCCCAGGGCCTGCATATAATGAAATCCCCGAACACTTCCTGGGCGCATGCTTGCTCTGTAACCACCCGTCTCATGATTATCTCTTCCACACGGGCAGTCAGATCTGAGTGGAAGGTGACGACTGTGTCTTATTTTCCTTTGCATCCCCAACAGCTGGCGCAGTGATGAGGAGCTAAAAGCAACCCAAGAGGTGCTTGCGAATCAGTGGGTGAGTAAATGAGAACCCCAGTCATGTCATGGTCCCCTCTGGCCGTTCTCCCCAAATTCTGGTAACCAGGACCTTGTCCACTGCCACCCCCCAGCCGAGCCTGCAGCCTTACCTCCCATGAGGAAGAGCAGCCCTGCCACGTACTGCATAAGGCCTCGGTCCCAGCAGCAGCCCAGCACGCCGATGATCCAGCCAAAGAGGATGATGGCCACCGCCATGCCCATGAAGCCAGCCGTCATTCTGCGCAGGTCTGTGAGGAAGCAGGCGAGCAACAGTCAGCAGCAGAGCCTGGGACTGAGGGCCAGGGTACACCCCAGCTGTGATGTGGGAGCAGGGAGGAAGGGGCCCTCCAGGGGCAGAAAGGCAACCTGACCTTCTCAAATAGAAGCACATGATCTTTGCAGAGGGAGAAGCCCCTGTGGTGACTCTATCCTTGTGTGCACAAACATGCTACAGCAGTTTGCCGCCTAGACACAGGGACAGATCATCACAATATCGTGACTGCTTCTTCTGTGCCTCGTTCGTGCCAGGCATAGTGTTACCTATCTATGTATCTATCTCAACCTTCTGAGACAGGTACGATTTTTATTCCTATTTGCAAATTGCAGCAACTTGCTGAAAGGCATACAGCTAGTAAGTGGTTGAACAGGGACTGGAACCCAGACCTGTCCAGTGCTCTCAGCTTCCAAACATAGCATCACTCAGCCACTCCAAGAGCTGAGAACCAGAGAAACCAGCTGCTGGATCTGGGCAGTCAGGCTGTACCTGCCAAGGCCTCCTGGTCTCTCTAAGAGGTTGCAAATGCTCAAGGTGATGGATATTCAAAACACCCCGACTTGATAGCATGTGAGGGGAAGCTATCAATGTGGGGGGCGGGGGTTGGCATTCTGTTCCTTCCCCTCCAAGCTGGCTCCTGGGCTTAGCTCTCCCTGCACCCAGGGCTGCGGGGGAAAGTCACACTTCCTGCTCTACTCTAAGTTCCAGAGCAGACCCCTTTCTTGGCCCTTGCTTCAGCTCCTCCAATCCCGAGGTCAACCCTGCTTTCTGAGTCAGGCCCGTCTCTGTTCTACGCTTGGCTGACCCATCAGCTCCAGGAGGAAGAGGGTTGTCTGGAAAGGCAGTATTTTTAGCAGAAGGCAGAGGGCAGAGCTGTTGCCATGGCTAGGTTGGCCACTCAGCATCTGGCTTGACTTCTTCCCCAGCTCCAACCCCTGCCCTCTTGCACCCAGAAGCAGCCAGAGCTGCTTTCAACCCCCCTGCTCTTCCATGTGCCCACTGCACCCCAACCCCCATCAAGCTACGGGCATACTTTCCTCATCCATCGCTCTACCTTCTGACCTCCTGGTCATGCCACCCACTCTTCTACCCTCCACCAGCATCCACCACAGCTCCCTGGGACCCCTCTCCACCCACCCACATCAAAGCCTGTGCCCTAACCCCACCAATGAAGCTCCACACAAGAGCAAAGCTACTTATTCTGCCTCTGCCCCAGGGTCTGTGCTCCCCAGTGGGTTGCAGAGCATCCTGGAGGACCCTTGGGCATCCCTCTCTGTCACAGGGAAGTGCTTGAAGTAAACCACATACATCAACACCTCATGCAAGCACACCAGCTGCTGCCTGGACAGTTTTTTCTCTGAGAAACAAACACTCGGCAGGTCTCTTCGGAGAACACCTCAGAGACCACGTACCTCAAAAGGTGTCCAGGTCCCATCCCCTCCATTCCTCTCTCTCACTCCAGTCACCCCACGGAACCCCAGCAGAGCAAACAAAAGGACCTATGGTGCGGTTGGGTTTAAGAGCCCTCTGTAGAGGGACCTAGGCCACCCTTCTTTTCCTGACACTGACCATCAGACATTGACAACCCCTGGCCTGGTAGGAAGTTGGTCGGGAGTGGGGAGGGACGGGGCACAGGAGGGGAACAGCGGCAGATCCTTCCGCTGACGAGCGGCCTGCGGAGGAAGGAGGACAGGGCTCCGGTCACAGAGACAGAGATCTTTGAGAGCCACAGGACAGGTTCCTGCTCTACTAGGGTGACCCTGCCTGCCCTGGCTGACCTGGGATGCTTGCCCCAGCCAGGTAGAAGTGATGCTCACAGTCACTTATGGAAACAGCTCAGGGTGCCTGATTATCATGCAGCCCTGTACCCCCTGCTCATATCACCATATGTGTCAGATGGAACTGCTGAAAACATCGATTGATCACAATAGGAACCTGTGAGCCCCACGGCCTGCATGGGGAGCCACAGCCAGTCAGAGAAGCAAGGAGCGCTCTTGCCCTTCTTACTGAACTACTCGTGCTGTCCTTCCCTCCATCTCCCCAAATGCTCTCTCCACGGCCACCAGCCCTGTACCTTAGTCCCTGCCTTCTCCACCATCACAAGAGACTCTTGAGCAACCAAGACCTGAGCTGCCGTCTCAGTATACAGAAAGGTCCCCACTTGACATGTGATCTTATTTGGATCATCTCTAAGAAAAGAGATACTCTTTACTACCAACGCTTCTACTCCCCACCATCTTCAAGAGCAAAAAGGTAGTGGATAGGGGAAAAGAGAGAGAACAGCTTATTTTCAATGAAAAGGAGGTTTCCCTTTAAGGGGTTTGTACTTCCTTAAACAGAATGTATAGTTTTAGATTTTGCTTTTAAGTCTTTAATCCATTTTGAGTTGATTTTTGTACCTGGGCAGAGACAGGGACCAAGTTCCATTCTTCTGCACATGGGTATTCAGTCTTTCCATTTACTGAAGTGCCATTTACTGAAGAGGGTGTCCTTTCCCTGGTGTATGTCATTGCCTTTGTTGTAAAATCAGTTGGCTGAGTATGTGGATTTCTGGGTTCTCTGTTCTGTTCCATTGATCTACGTGTTTTTATACCAAAATCATGCTAAGTGTCTTTCGATGAATGAATAAAGAAAATGTGTTACATACACACAATGGAATACTATTCTGCCATAAAAAGAAAGAAATGTTATCATTTGCAGTAACATGGAGGGAACTGGGGTTCATTATGTCAAGTGAAATAAGCCAGACCACAGAAAGACATGTTCTCACTCATATGTGGGAGCTAAAAAATGCTGATCAAATCAAAGTAGAGAGTAGAATAATGGTTCCCAGAGGCTGGGGACGGTGTGGACAAAGAAAGAATGGTTAATGGGCACAAATATACAGTTAGAAGAAATAAATTCTAATGTTCGAGAGCAGAGTAGGGTAACTACAGTTATCAACAACATATTTTGTACTTCAAAATAGCTGAAATATTTCCCACACCAAGAAATGATAAATGCTCAAGGTGATGGATATTCGAAATACCCCGACTTGATCATTATACATTCTATGCATGTTATCAGAATATCACATGTACCCCAAAAATGTACAAATATCATATATTGACAAAAACAAACAAACAGGAAGTATAAAGGGCCAGCACATTCATCTTCTGGGCCTATCCCTTTTCGGTGTGTGGAGGTGGAGGTTTCTTTTTTCTTTTTTTTCTTTTTTTTTTTTGAGACGGAGTCTTGCTCTGTTGCCCAGGCTGGAGCGCAATGGCTCAATCTTGGTATACTGCAACCTCCGCCTCCTGGGTTCAAGCGATTCTCCTGCCTCAGCCTCCTGAGTAGCTGGGACTACAGGCACGCGCCACCACGCCTGGCTAATTTTTTGTATTTTTAGTAGAGATGAGGTTTCACCATGTTAGCCAGGATGGTCTCGATCTCCTGACCTTGTGATCCGCCCACCTCGGCCTCCCAAAGTGCTCAAGGCGATGGATATTTTAAATACCCTGACTTGATCATTATACATTCTATGCATGTATCAGAATATCACACGCACCCCAAAAATGTACAAATACCATATATCGACAAAAACAAACAGGAAGTATAAAAGATCAGCACGTTCATCTTCTGGGCCCTTCTCTTTTTGGTGTGCAGAGGTTTCTTTCCAGGAAAAGTCCTAACCCATTTGGCAGCACGAGGCAGGATGTGAAGCCCCACCCTGCTCGAGGCCCAGCTCCCACCTGGCCTTGCTCAATGGAAGGCTTGTCCTGTTCCCCAGGCTCTGCAGACATCAGGGGGCAAAGGTTCTTCCTGGGGGAATTAAGTGGTAAATGGGTCAATAGGAGGTGTCCACCTTGGCCAGGGATGGGAAAGCGGGCTGGGCAGAAAAACAAAATGGAAATGCAAATCAGAAAAAGAGGGAAGGTGAGAATTGTTGGAAGATGAGAACAAAGTGTTTTACACAGAATAAAACAGAGGAAAAGGCAGAATAGCAGCCAAATGAAGATAATAATTCCTCTTCCAAAAGTCTGTGTTCCAGGTTGGGGAGGGGCCGCTGTCCTCTAACACAGATCAGGAACTCTGTCTTCTCCCAAAGGGCTTTGTCAACAGAAGCTGAGGGTTGTGCTAAGTTGTTGATCTGGAAACAGGAATGAAAACCAGAGGCCAGGTGTGTGTATTTCCACTGACCTGGAAAGATTTTCACATCACCCTGAAAACCTTATTTTGCCAGGGCTGTGCATGAACAGCTGGTTACTTTGTCCTTAGACCTGTGTGGCAATTCAGGGAAGCTGCAATGACAGCATTGAAGGTAGATAGGACAAGAGATATTCCAGCTTTACAGACGAGGAGCACAAGATCCAAAGAAGTTACATAACTTATTGACAAATAATCTCACAACCAGCATACTACAAGAAGAATGAGTTGCATTATTGAGTTACAGAAGAAAATAATGCAGTTAAAGATGTACTCGGTTATAATGGCAGATTGAAAAAGAAAGCATCTAGCATTTCTTCCTCCTAAACCAAGCCAGACTGCAGTTACGAGATTTCTCAGAAAGACAGAAGTCTTCAGGAATGGGGAAAACAGAGAAGGAGGCAGGGATGACAGTAACAAAAGTCTGCAGGGCTGACGGATGCTGTCCCAAAGAGTCTGCATTGGACCTAAAGAGTCAGATCTAAAGTCTGCATCAGAGAAGCTGAAAACCAACTTGTGGAATCCCCAAAAGGCTCACAAACTGGCACCAACAGGTCCATTTGGATCTGGCCATTAAGCAGAAGGGAGGGAGAGAAAACAGGGATTTGGTGGAAGTTATTTAAGAGGGAACTTGATTTCTACATGCCCTTGGCCACTCCACATCGCTAAGGGATTCCTCTCTCCCATCATTGACTCCTGGGATCAGGGTGCGAGGTGGTCATCAAACACAGTGCTTAGGTTTGGAGGTCAACAAGCTCAGCTGAGGGTTGGCCAGCACAGTTGAGAGTC